AGCTGCTCCACATAGCTCCCGGCCTCGTTTGGATTCCGCTCGGACGTGGCTCCCGACCACGGGGCTCTGCCTCCTTCCTGGCATTTCCCTGGATTATCTCTGTGCTGTGCCATTGCCTTGAGATTAAGCTTGTTTTACTCCAAATTCAGCTGCTCTTTGCTCGGTGTTTGACCAGCACTGCTCATGTTGCCTTTATTCCCTGAAAAGTGGCAGGAGGGCTCAGTTCCATTTGCAATGCTCGGCCCCCAAGGTGGGATCGAGTGGAGACAACGCTTTGTGGAACATTCCTTGAATAAAAACCTTCATGTTGAAGCCACACAGGCTGATTTCTGGGATCAATTCCCCAGTGGGAACATTCCCAATGGCTTTAAGAAGGATGAACCAGTATTGGTGGACCTAAAATGAGACTGATATGTAAATTCTGGGGTCAGGTGTTCACTCCTCTGCTCCAGCCCAGAGAACAGGTAGCATTTCCCATTTTGGGAAGTGTCTTGTTCCAAGTGCTGGAGAGTCAGGAATGCTGAGAGCTTTTGAAGTATGGTAGGAGCAGCTGGCAGAGAGGAGCCTGGGGTGAATCCAACTCCAGTTCAAAGCACCAATCCCTCCTCCAAGTCACTGCACAGGGCCAGAATAAAAGGATCTCAGGAAACAGCAGAGCCCCAAAGACAAACAGTGCAAGACATGAAAGACTGAAGGAAGGAGCAGCAGGAGTGAGAGCAAAGCTTCTCTCCCTCACCCCAGAAGGACTGGTTGTAGTTCAGTGGGATGCAGATCAAGAAAGGATTGTCCTTTCTTTCCAATTAAAACTGACTGATTATATGCCAACAGTAAAAAGAGAGGCCAATCCTTCCACATCCAGCTTGGAGTATGGAATCACAGGATGGTTTGGGTTGGAGGGATCATAAAGCTCATCCAGTTCCACCACCTGCCATAGGCAGGGACACCTTCCACTAGCCCAATTTGCTCCAAGCCCCATCCAACCTGGCCTTGGACACTTCCAGGGATGAGGCAGCCACAGCTTCTCTGGGCCTCACCACCCTCACAGGGAAGAATTTCTTCCCAGTATCTCCTCTAAATCTCCACTTTTCTGGTGGGAAGCCATTCCCCCTTGTCCTGTCCCTCCAGGCCCTTGTCCAAAGTCCCTCTCCAGCTCTCCTGGAGACCCTTTAGGCACTGGAAGGGGCTCCAAGGTCTCCCTGGAGCCTCTCCCAGCCTGTTCCACGAGCTGAGGGGCTCCAGCTCTCGGAGCATCTCCATGGCCCTCCTGTTCCACATCATGTTCCACATCCAGCTCCAAAGCAAGGAAAGAGAGGAAGATGACAGATGTGAAGGTGGAGCAGGAGCAGGAGGGAGCAGGGACACCCCTGACAGGGCTGGACACCCCCAGGGCTCCCAGGACAGGGAGGGCTGTACCTGGAGAACCTCCCAGGGCTGGCAGCAGATGGAGGAACATGGAGAGAAAAGCTCAAACACATCCTATTTCACAGGACTTTTGCTCCAGTGGCTCTCAGGAAACCCAGCTGCTCTGCTGCAGCTTCTCCTCCCGCAGGGGCTCCGCTCCCAACACTGATCCAGGCTGGAAAATCCAGGCCCAAACACCACATCCCTTGTGCCTGCAGCTGGAGAACACAGGAACTGACAAACCAGCTTAAGAAAATGATTTTTATTTCTTTTTTTTTTAATTATTTCTTTTTTCTCCTTTTTTTTGAATTTCTGCTGTTTACAGATATGTTTTATTTCTCATAATACAGCTTGGCAGCAATAAAAAAAAAAAAAATCCCACTGCAGCTGAACTAAACCCCATAAATACCAGCCCAGAAAACAATGGACAACCACCAATATTTCTATACAGGAACTATTATTTTAATGTCACATTTTGACAATGGTAAATGATCTACAGACTGTACGTGGGCAAAAGGCAAGAAGTGAGTCTTTTGAAACACCAGATGGAGAATAAACAGCTCATTATCAACATTTACATGATTCACATCAAATTGATGACATCCTAAATGTATTCCTTTTAAAGGATAGAAATTTTTCAATAAAATATTACATTTCATTTAATACTCTGGTACAATACTTCATACATTGCAGGAAAAAAAAAATAAATGCAAGGTCTACTCCACCTAATAAGAGGATCCTTTTTCATTAGTCTTTAGTACTGTAATAAAAAAAATCACAATAATGTCATAAATAAACAGGCTTGAAATTATTAATTACGTTTCACTATTTAAAAGGGAGAAATTACAAATTAATTTGCAATAATGAAGTTATGGGTAGAAAAATCAAAACCTGACAACACATTCTAGTACCAGCTGTGAATTCTCTCATCCCTACAACAAAAAAAGGAAACAGGTTTTGTATCTTTGTTAGCTGTGTCCTAGTTAATTGTGTTTCCAACACATATTTTAAGAGGGAAAAGTAAAGTTTGGTCAGGATTAATAGGAGAATGAATCAGGCCTAACAACAGTTAGCTGAAATTAAAGTTTATGCTCTAAAACATTCAGTAAATGAAGTTTGCAGCAAATTCATGCTGGCATAAATTATTGTGCCTTAGGAGTTGGGGTAAATTTCCCTTGTGGAATAAAGTCTTCTCCAAGAGAACACTTCAGCCCTGCATCCCTTTTCCATTCATTGATACAGAACAGGCTTGGAAATCAATGCTTAAAATGGAATTCCCTAAAAACCTCACTAGAAATACACAAAACCCACATTCACTGATCCCCCCCGAACCAAAGGACATTGCTCTTTGTTGCTTCATCTGCCAGAAAGCCCAGCCTGAAATTTATTTGCTTAAAATAATTTAAATTATTTCTCTTAATTATGCTTAATTTCTTAATTATTTTCCTTTAAGAACCCTCCAACTCTCACTGGTGTGGGGAAGGGGACAGATTTTCTGGTGCATTTTATGGTCTCCCCTCTGGTGTCACCAGGGCCCAACACTCCAGGGCAGAGAGGAGAATTTATTTATTCCCAACCTTTCAGATTCTGCTCCCCCCTCGCTGACATTCTCCCACCATATGCTCCCCAGGATTAATACACATTCTGCAGCAAGAATTCCCTGCTTCTAAAGACAAAAATTCAAAATAAACCCCTAAACAGCTCAAATGAGGTCATGAGGCAACTTCATGTTGGCCATGAACTGATTGCTGCTTACACAGGTCAATCTTTTAAGACACAACACGTGAACTGAGTTCAGCCAGTGGACATTGCCTCAGGATCCTTCTCTCCCTTCTCCTGACTTCCCCCCTGACTTCCCAGTTTGGAGCAGAGCAGCTCCAAACCCAAGCCTGGGTCCCACCTAGCTCTAACCTATGAAGTGCAGGATTTGTCTAATTCTGCACCAAGTTTGAGGCAAATATTTAATTGCTCTCTACAAATACCAGCACTTCTGTCTGATCCCTGTTCAGCAGGAGGCAGCTGGAAATAGGGACACAGAGGAAGGAGGTGATGGAGAACAGGCATCTCCCACCAAAATTAACAGATTCCTCTCTCATCATCATCTATTCAGACCTAGAAAGGGCACAAGTATTTATGACTAGAGTATAAGGCTATGCCAGTAAAACACATCTTATGGTATGCTGGTGACAGGAGTTCCAAAAATAAATCCCAAAGCCCCAAAAGACAAAAAGGACAAGAGGCAAAGTAACAAAATTCTGCTTAACATTAACGAAGCACCTTCATTCAGTTCAAACAAACTGTTCAAATATTTGAATTTGCAAAGTACTCTCAGGAAAAGGTAATGTAATCTCACACTTAACCTTTCACAAAGCTGTATTAATTACATTCCAGGCTTCAGCAGAATTCCGCCAGGAAGGCCAATAACACAATTCCATCGGCCCCGTTTCCCTGCACACGGCAGTTTGTGCAGTGGCACCCTGTGCATGGAAATGGAAATCATTCCTGAACACCCCTAAAGTCACAGAACTCCACCATGGAAAAAGGTGCTGGTGACACACCAGTCCCCACTCCTTGGGTTCCAAGGGGACTGCTGGTCCAGGGAACTGGACAGGGCAAAGTGAAGGAACCCAAACAAGTGGCAGCTCAGCAGACCTTCCTTCTGGAGTCTCTAAAGAGGCTTTTGGCTCATTGACAATCAGAAGTGGTTTCAGATTAACGTGATTTTTAATGGGGACAGCAAGTTCCAGGCAGCTCCAAAAGGCACTTGGGGTGGGAGGGTGACAAAGTCCTGCCTGGTGACACCCGGCGTGGCCTCGCTGCTGCTCCTGCTGCCCTGTCCCACTAAGGCAATTCCAGAGGATTCTTCCATGCACTGCCTTCCCCACACAACTGCAGTTTGGCCTTTTAGACCAGCACAAAGCCTTCCTAAAAATCCAGAAGGCTGCCCAGCTCCCACCTCCCCTGCAGAAGGGAAGGGGGCACTGACCCCAAGGGAACACTGGGTTACTGGTTTCACGGGTTTAATGTGCTGCCAAGGTATCATCATGCAACTTTTTAAACTATCTTAACTCTACAAGTTCAGTCTCTTGTTTAATAGATGAACACAGACTAATTAACACAGTGTCCTCACAAACCACTCAGGTCTCCTGAGAGAAACAGCAACTTTCTATTCTGGGTGGAGAGATCATGGAAAAGAAACTTTGATGTAAAAGCAAGAATTACTCAAAAACAGCCCATCCAGCCACTCAGCTAAGTCAGAATCAAGCCACCAATTATCACAAAAAGCACCTTCATATCAATAACTGCTCACCCCAGGAAGCTCAGTCTGAGTTTGAAATGTATCAGGACTAATTTGATCATGCAGTTGATTCATTCCCGCTGGTGATCCACTGTTTCCCAACAATCAAGTATTGTTCCCATCAGTATTTTACATTAGTGTAACGGATTTATCCACGTCATTGCTCTCCCCTC